ACTCACCCCCATAATTCCATCACCTCCCACTGGGTTCCTCTCACGATGTGTGGGAATTGTGGGAGTTACAATTCAAGATGCGATTTGGGTGGGGACATAGCCAAACCATATCGCTGTCTTTTCTGGGGTTACTGACACTCTCCAAGAAGAGTTCTCTAACTACCTGGGATAGAGGTGCCCTGCTGCTGTTCTGGGGATGGGGACTGAAGAGCCACTGATTGGCACAAGTCTGGCTTCAATCCCTGTCTCCATCTTCTGTGTCACCCAGCCTGCCAAGGCCTGGTCCATCACCACTCAGTTCATCTGGAGAATAAACCTCTGGTCTGCATTGGATGAGGAAGCAGAAGGGCAAGGAGGGGGCAGGGAGGAAAAGAGGGATGGGGGTCCCCAGATTGGGTGGAGCGGGAGAAGGAGATTAGGGTCTGACTGCTCTAGAGGTAGACTTTCAGCTATCCCCTCATTTTCAGCCCCAAGCCCAATCTCTGCTTAATTTCTGGTGTCTCTGGGTGAAAAGCCCTTCAAGTGAGATCAGGTGAAGCACTCATTGCTCACAGGAACAGCCTACTGCCGGCAGAACCCTCCCGTGTTCCGCAAAATCAGTCACTCCCCCATCCTTAACCAGAATTCCTGTCTGCTCTTATCTGTGTCTTCAGAATGAATGTTTTTTAAATTCTCACATTCTTTTTCAGTGGGGAAGAGCCAAATGCCGATCACTGAGCAACTATATGTATCTGGAAGTCCCTGAGTTTTCAAAAATAAGCCTGTTTTTGGTTTTGTTTTTCAGTTATGCCAGGAAGTATATATTTTTACTATGTGGATTGGCAATTGGTTGATGGCAGGTGAATGAACAGAGCCAAATAAATAAAACACAATTTTAACACTTAGGGAAGTTACAAATGACTTTTACTGACTAAATTCTCATTTTTCCTGATAGAACTTTAGCCATCTTTTGAAAATTATTTTAAACTGAAAAAATCAAGTGTTCAGAGACATTATCACAAAAAGCACTGACACAGATGGGAGGTTGTAACTTCCCTCCAAAGTCTACTCAGCCCTACACCCCTTGAAGAGCGCAACCCAGCCCTCACAGAGGATCCTTTGTGCTTTCTCCTGGGCCAGGCCCTCGCCCCTAGAGGCTCTGATTAATGAGGAAACCCCTTCCTCACAGCAACAGCAGAGGGGGACCCTGTCCACAGACCCTCGGTGCCTTCGCCTGAAATATTGCTTCCTCTGCATGTTGGAATCTGTTCCTGGAGGCACTGGGGACTTAACCTCTTGAATGCTGTGTAATCTCCTGGGTCTCTGGGGAGGACTGACGTCAGACACCAATTTACAGAAGCCTGCTTTCATCTAGAAGGCCAGGCCCAGGAAGGTTCAGACTCTTCCGTGGCCAGACATTGTAAATCTGCCTCGCGACATCTCATTCCAGGAGACAGAGCTACCCAGCAGGGCCAGGAGACATTGAAGGATGTCCAGTGAGCTTGCGCAGCAAAGAGGCAATCCCTGGCCTGACCCTGGCTGGCACAGCAATCCCTCACTCTGTCAGTGCCCTCTTTAAGGAGGCTTAGTTGAAATGGAGCTCATGGTGATAAAGACCTCAGCTTCAGTGACTCACAAGGATCTGAAGGGTTCAACTACCTCTTTGTGAACAGAAAAACCAGTGCTCAAATAGTGTGGCTGCACAAGCTCACACTGACCTTTAGCTCCAATCAGGATTCACCTCCAGGTAATCTGGCTGGAAAACCACTGCACCATCCCCCTACCAGAAACCAGGTGGCAAATGACAGCTGCTAAGTCCCCCATATGAGCTGCAGGGGGAGCAGAGCCAGCTGTTCCACAGCCCCATTGTGTAGTAGGTATCTCACCCGACCCCACACAGACCAATGCCCAGTGGACTAGGCAGTTCTAATGCCCTGGAAGCTAAAGATTGACTTGCTGGGCAATGGTCAGGAGAATCATGCACAATAACAGAGCCTTTCTGCTTTGCTGGGAACACAGGCTCTGCACGTACTCTAGATACTGCCCACAGTGTGAGGCAGGAAACGGGGACTGCACCTAACTCAGAGAAGGAGGGAGAGGTGAGGGACAAAGGTGAGCCTGAAAATGTATCCACTGCACCTTGTTCCACGGTTGGCTGTGTGGCTTTACCTGCTTCATGGATGTTGGCCAATTGATTCTACGGAAATGAATCTAAATAAAAGGGCCCCCTTGGACAAGTCTCCTTCATTCATTCTATCATCTACCACCTCTGATTTTACAAATCTTCCCATCTGGTGGGAGATCCCAGCATTAATTTAGGGAATTCAGATACAAAGGGGCTGGGCACGTTCGCTCATGCCTGTAATCCCAGCACTTTGTGAGGTCAAGGAGGGAGGATCGTTTGAGCCCAAGAGTTCAAGACCAGTCTGGGCAACATGGCAAAACCCCGTCTCTACTAAAAATTTAAAAACTGTCGAGTGTGGCAGCACACACCTGTAGTGCCAGCTACTTGGGAGGCTGAGGTGGGAGAATCGCTTGAACCCAGGAGGCAGGAGCTGCAGTTAGCCAAGATCATGCCACTGCACTCCAGCCTGGGTGACAGAGAGAGACTCCATCTCAAAAAAAGAAACAAAGCAAAACAAAACAAAACAAAAAAAACAAAGGGATGAGTGCTGGGGGCTGGAGGGCAGGTAACTAACTCTGATTGTGGGGATCAACAACTGTCGGGGGGCAACTGATCTGGACTTTGAATAATGTGTGTGATGATAAGCAGAAGAGAATGTTGAGGGGGAAAAAAGGAGAAAGAAGTAACAAAAGAATAAGGAGAACATGACAAAGGTAACAGGAAAGCATTTGTCTGCGTGGCCTGGGACTCAGTCTGGAAGAGAAGGAGAAGGAGAAGGATGGATGCTGGAAGATAGAGAGGTGGTGTGGGGGAAGCTTGCAGAAAGCCTGGGATATGGATGAAGGAATTCAGACTTTAGGCAATGGAAAATGTCTGGGAGTCTTAAGCAGGGATGTAATGTGTGAAGACCTGCTATTTCCAAAGTGAATTCCCACAGGTGGAGGACAGATTGGAGAGGGATGATGCTGGAGGCTAGGAGGCTCATTAGGAGACTGGGGCAGCATCTGTACAAGAAATGAGAGGGATGGGAGCCGCAGATGAAAGATGGCAGATGTGGAGCAATGAGGATGAGGATTGGCAGAACGGAAGAGGAAGAAGTATTGTTAGAACTTATTTTGTTTCCAGATTTGGTGGCAAGGGTAATAATGAAACCAGTAGCCAAGATGTAAAGTCCAGGAAGTGGAAAGGAATTGAGGTGGAAAGACAGTTTGATTTGGAATACATTGAGTGTGACACAGAGGTGACCAATAGGTAGGTGGAAATGGAGCTCATGGCTGAGGAGAAATGCTGGTGTTAAATCCCTGCTAGGAACAGTCCTTGTGCTTATGGTGCTCAGGCCACAGAGCTTCTTAGCAATAACCAGGAAGAGAGCAGAGAACGGATGGGAGAGAGAGGGGTGCAAATGATGCCTTGGTGTATTGCTGAGTAACAGATTACCCTGACACCTGGCAACTTGCAATAACAAGCATCTATTATCTCACAGTTTCTGAGGGTACCTGGGAGCAGCTTAGCTGGGTGACTCTGGCTCAAGGCCTCTCATGAGGTTGTAGCCACGTGGTCAGCTGGGGCTGCCAACATCTGAAGGCTCAACTGGGGCTGAGGCATCAGCCTTTAAGCTTCCTAACATAGCAGCTGCTGGCAAGAGCCCTCAGTTCCTCACTGCATGGGCCTCTCTGCAGGGCTCCTCATGGAGGCAACTGGCTTCCCCCTAAGAGAGCAACCCATGAGTGAGAGAGTGACCAAGGTCATAACTTTTATAACTCAATATAGGGACTATTGCTACCACTTCTGCTGTGCTCAGTCCTATAGGCAAACCCAGGTATAATGTGGGAGGCGACCACATAAGGATGTGAATAACAGGAGGGTGGTTCATTGGAGGCTGCCAACCATAGATCACCAGCCCAGGAAACAGCACAGAAAGAGGACTCTGTAAAGGATGCACAGAAAAAAGAAAGAATGCAAGCCCCAGTGCATGTAGGATGACTACCAGAGAATAATATATAAGGGAGATTGTCCAGAAGGACAGGGTGATTTCAAATGCTAAAAAGTCCAGGCAGTGGGAACTGAATGAGCATGGAAATTAGGCCACTGGACCTGGTGACCAGCTTCCAGGCTGGCATGGCCAGCCACAATGCTACAAAAGCAGGTAAAAGTCACCTCTTAGCAGATAGAGAAGTGGGTGGAAAATGAAGACATAATGGCAGGTCGTGGTAAAAGTAAACCACTTTCCAGAGTATTGGTGGTGATGTGAGGAGAGGCTGAGAGTGGTTTGCAGGGGAAAGCTGTTCTGTACACAAAAGGTTTGGCTAGTGGGAAGAGGAGGAGGGGAAAATTGGAAGACATAGGACAGAGACTTAATTGATGATCTAGAGTCCCAGAGGACATATGAGGACAGTGACTGGAAGCACAAGCTGAGAGAATTAACTCCCCTTCCTCTAGTGGAAGGAAAGGACAGGTGAAGGATGGTTGCAAGGGATGCGAGAGGTATGCAGGGTGCTCATCTGAGGGTCTCTATTTTCTTCTGCTGATATTGAGTTGAGGGATGAGGTGGTGGAGGGGGTTCAGAAGAGATCAAAGGCTTAGGTTAGCTCTGGTGACTTGTCTCTAGGGACAGGCACTGGCGTTGAGTAATGCCCATGACCTTCCTGCTGTGTTGTGGAAAATTCCTCACCCCACAGCTGAAGAGTAGCACACACCCCTGTTTCATCCTCCCCCGACTTCTCATGCTCCCCAGAGCCACCCAGGCATCTAGAATTTGTGTGCTGCTATCAATGGTGTATAATTTATGTCCATCCCCTATGGCTTGGAATGTCTACAAAGCATGTATTTATAGTAACAGAAGCTCCAGGCAAGGCTGGGGGACCTGTGGTCTTGACTGCTGGGGGAGTTTATTCACCTGGACCACCTGGAAGGAAGATGATGCGAGCCTTCCCCAAATCCAGCATCAGCTCTGCAGATCTAGGAGCAGTGAGATCAGCACCTCTGCCTCTAGTCCTCCCAAATCTTCTGCCCCGAGGCTGTGGAGACTCTCTTCTCACTAGGCAGTTCTATGCCTGAGGCACCTATGAAACTGAGTGTCAGCAGAGGGTCAAGCCTTGGGCAAGTCCACCTAACCTCCCATGACTCTGCTCCCTCATCTGTAAAACGGGAAGAATAGAGTTATTCATATATCATTTAGCACAGTACCTGGAATGCATTTAACGTTAAGCAAACACTAGCTATTTTTCACAAGCCCTGGAGGCCAGACATTGACTGCCAAGGGACTCGATTATAGTTTTATTGAGTCAGTCTGTCCTATTGCTCCTGCACACAGACACTCTGCTTAGTGTACAGTGAAATGAAACAATATGGTGAATATGGACTTTGGATGAGCTCGTCCTTCCAAAGAAAAGCTACTCCCTTTAGCCCAATTTTCCATGGCCAGGGGTCCAGGCTCTGTCCCCAGTTTGGAGTGTTGGTTCAGTAGGTGGAATCCTATAACAAAACCTATGCAGGATTGGTCAGGGTGGCCAGTTTTCTTTGTTCTCTTATGATATTAGCACCCATTTCCTGGCACCCTCTCTAGACACAGTACATCTGACCCAGTAAGACAACTTCTAGACCCATTTTATAGATGAGGAAATTAGGACTAAGAGAGTAAGGAATGACTCAGGCCACACAGCTGCTAACTGTGAAGCTGGGCTTTGCTCCCCTCCCCTCCTCCCTCTTCCAGCCTCCTTCCCTTCATACATGGTTGCTCTGCCTGACCAAATACCCAAGGACCATGGACAAGAAGGAACTGGCAGCGAGGAAGCCCCAGCTGTGGTTTTTTGCATGCCGGGGTGCAGCAGAGATTGCCTTCCAGAGTCCTTTTCAACTTCTCAGAGCTCTTCTCAGAGCTCTCAGGGTTCTTTCAGGAATTGCAGATGCCCAGAAACACAGACTCCTGGGTCCGAATGGTTGAGTCAGTGTGTGAGAACTGTCCAGGACATCCTCCCCCACCCAGCACCAAAACAGGTTACAGGGCGTCACTACCTCCCGCAGCAGCTCAGCCTAACACCAAGTGGCGGGTTGCGGAGCGTCTTCCCTTACGTTGAGCTAAAACTCCCCTACCCCAGCCTCCCCTCACTAGCCCAGATTTGGACTCCTTAGGATGCAACGGCAATTGTGCTTTCTTTGTGTAATATCCACATCGCACCATTTTCCCCTGGCAGCCGGGCCCCTGTCCACTCTGCTTCATGAATGCTGTAACTTGAGACTCCCTTCTCATAGTACTTTTCCGCACTTGGCAGGTTTCCACCTCCCTCACTGCCTTGGGGCTCTCTGTCCTTCCCTCTGTCCTTCCCCCTCCTCTGCCTCTCACAAGCCTGTTAGAAGCAGAGCTTCCCGGGTGTGTGCTGATTTCTCCAGGAAATGCCCCTTCTCTTTTTCCTCTGGGTCCATTAGCAACTGCTAGGTCAGACGTGGATGTCTGGGGCTTCACCACCATCTCTTCCAAGTTCTATTTTAGGCTGTGGCCTTTTGTTCCTGGCAACCTCTTCTCTAACTCCGGAGAGGTCTAAGGAGCACACCCGCCCAGCCAGACCTCCCCCTCCTCCGGGGGCTCCACAGATGGGCTTAGATGGTAGTAGAGGAGTCGGAAGTTCCACAAGAGCCCTCTTTGTGGGTTATTCAAGAGGGGCCTTCTCTGAGGTTCCTCCACATTTTGCTTTTTGCCACAGGCCCTACTTTCTTTCCACCATCACCCAACACCTGCCTCTTCCCTGCCTCTTATGGGGGCAGTCCCAGGATAACCCTCAGCCTTGTTAGTTCCCAGTTCCCCTAACCTGAGCCCAGTGCACAGAAAAAAAAGCCTTCTGCGGGAAAGGCTGTGGGGAGAGCACAGCTCAGACACAGTCCACCGTCAACAAAATGCTCTTAGCTCTAACTGGAAGCCTACACCACCCATTTGACAATTAGGAACAGGGAAGTTTAGCAGCTCCAAAACATCCTCCGCTGCCCAGTGCTGCTCCTGTCTCATGGGCCAGGCCCTGAGCTGGTCATGGCCTTGGCTGAGCCCTGCCACAACAGGAGACAGCTGGCCACCCTGAGCAGGTGCATCCAAAGGGAGGGCGTGCAGCTGGTCCTCTCCCTCTTGTTAAAAGCGAGGGAGGCTTTCCCAGAAGCTCCTCAGCACACATTCTGTCTGGGCTATTTGACCAGAACTGGGTCACACCCTCTCATTCCTAAAGCAGTCTCTGGGAAGGGGAGACGGTGGACTAACCTGTGGACTGAACCAGGCCCAGAAGGAATTCATATCTTCTGAGCAGGTGGCCGTCAGATACAAAACAAAAATAAGTGACTGTTAGCCAGCAAGAAGCAAGTGAGCACTGCAGGCTGGCCAGAGCTTCCCGACCCATGCAGATCAAGGGTTCCTAAAGGACAGGGAGCTGCCAGCGCTGCTGAAGCCCGGTCCCCGCAGCTCCATCTGTGCAATTCAGTGTGTGCCACAGAGACCGGAACACCTGCATTTGGGGGAGTGGGTGTGCGTGGGTGTTTAAAATGACTGAAGTTGATAGAGTCTGCTAATAGACAACAACAAACCCAGGAAATAAGTATGTAAATCATACACTTATAAACTTGAACTTGAAGATCACATGAGCACAGAGATTCCTAAACTCATTCAAGGCAGAAAAATACAAAAAAAAAAAAAGGTAATCTTTATGGAATGCCAAGATTCTTGATCAAATTAATCAATCAAATTAAAATAATTTTAATAGCAAAAATATCTGTTCATTATATATGTTGAGGATGTATCATCCTCAACAAAGAAAAATGCAAGCCAGATATGGTGTGCACCTGTAATCCCAGCTACTTGGGAGGCTGAGGTGGAAGGATTGCCTGAGCCTGGGAGGTTGAGGCCACAGTGTTTGCGTGACTGTACTCCATCCTGGGCGACAGACAAGACCTTATCTCAAAAAAAAAAAAAAAAGAAAGAAAGAAAGAAAAGAGAAAAGGAAGAGGCAAGGACAGGGGCAGGGGCAGGGGCAGGGGCAGGGGCAGGGGCAGGGCAGGGTAGGGAAGGGAAAGGAAGGACCCAAACTAACTGTCCTTGAGTTTTCCATTATTTCTGGCAGTCCCCAGCTTTCCATGGTTCGACTTAGGATGGTGTGAAAATGATGTTCATTCAGTAGAAATTGTACTTTAAATTTTGGATTTTGATGTTTTCCTGGGCTAGCGACATGCAGTACAATATATTCTTACACGAGATATTCCACACTATATTACAACATAAACTTTGTGTTAGATGATTTTGCCCAACCATAAACTGAGTGTTCTGAGCACGCTGAAGTAGGCCAGGCTAAGCTATGATGCTCAGTAGGTGGGGTGGATTAAGTGCATTTTTAACTTAAAATATTTTCAATGTCTGATGGGTTTTTGGGACATAACCCCATCGTAAGTTGAGGAGCATGTGTATTGGGTTTGCTTGGAGTTGTTTTTCTTTATTTGGTTGTTTTGTTTTCTATCTTATATGAGCAAAGGGGTAAAAGATTTCAGAAAAACACCTGAGAGGTAATACCATTCATAATAAGATTAATGAATCTTAATACCATTCAATCCAGCATATCCATTAGTAAATTAAGAATGAGTGAAAGCCCCCCACTGGCCAAGTGTAAAGGCTGGGCTCCATGAAACAGCTACAAGGACACTCCAAGTACTTTGAAAAACACCAATTCAGCCAAAACCTCACATTTATTTTCTCCAAAAGTTACCAAGGCTCACAGATGCCTTTGGGTTTCCCCAAGGTCACCCAGTTAATTATTGACATAGCAACTCCCCTCGCAAAGCAAAGAACCAAAATGATTTCCAACATCCCATGTTGAGATGCATGTTAATGAGGAAGGAAGGCCTCTGCATGGGGGGGCCTGAGCTAAGTATGTCTAATCAGAGTCCAAATCCGGGACAAACTTGAAAAGCTTCCTAATCCACCTATATGCAGAAGAATGAAGCTTGGAACTCATTTCAAAAGTTGTTTCTACTGGTGATTTAAAGACATACTCCTCTCTCCCTCATGCACACAAGCACAGACCTGCAAGAGCACTGTCCCCTCCAGAGCCTGACGCTCCAGACCCCAGCAAGTGTGAAATCCAGGTGTGACTTTCTAGGCATGGCCTGGTAAGAAAGGGCCTGGCCTACTCCTTAGCTCCCTCCTCCCAGCCAGAAATGGTTAATTGCCAGCTCCAGGCTGCCTCCAGCCCAGCCCTAATCGCCGATCTCAGACGGCTGGGCTGCGCTGGGGCTGAGCGGCTCCAGCCCAGGCTGGGGTTGTGTGAGCAGCGGGAGCATTCTTCCAAGGTAATGATTAAGCTGAGTCCCCGGCAAGGGCACGGGCTGAGCCGGGAAGGTGAGCCCTATTCACACCTCTGCCAGGCTGCGGTGGCCAGGACTGGTTTGGGAAGGCAGGGCCCCGGTGTGCAGGGGCCCCGAGCCAGCAGCCACAGCCTCCTACCTGCACAAGGGTGTTCGGGAGCATCTCAGGGCCAGAGACTTTGCTGCCCGCCCTGCCGGGACTTTGTCCTCACCCCCAGCACCATGAAGCTCCAGGTGTTCTGGACTGGGCTGGAATACACCTGCCGGCTCCTGGGCATTACCACTGCTGCAGGTAAGACCCCGCCTCCTGGCTGCTGATCCTTGCACATTGGCACGGCAGATAGGGCTGCCTGAGGGGTGGGAGGTGGCTGAAAGACAGCAGGCACATCTGGCCACTTCTGTGCTTCAATTTTTTCCCAAGACCCCCAGAAACACTGCTCTGTAGAGCAGCAGCAGGTGCAGTGGGGTGAGCCTCAGGCCGGGGGCCAGAGGGCTGGGTGCTGGATCTTTGCTTGGCAACTCACCCTCCCTGTGACCTTGGGAAGCCTCAAGATCCTCATCTGCAAAATGATTCCAGGGGTCTACCCCACCTACTCAGAGAGTTGTCATGAGATGGAGGTGGAGACAGAAGGTGAAGGTAGAAAGGGCTGGGCCTCGCTGTGCAGCTACAAAAGGTCAGCTGAGCTCATCCTGCTTTACTCAAACCATAACCCTACCTCATGGAGAGAGAATTCCCAGTCATGAGCAGCTCTGCCCAGTGGGGACAGCCTGAGCTAGGCTGGACATGGAGATCACAGGCTTCCCTCGGGCCCATGCTGGACCCTGTTAACAGAACACCCTGTAGGAACCTAGACTCCCGTCTGAGGTCTGGCTGCAGGAGTGAACTGTGGTCTTAGCAGCAGAGATGCTTCCCAGAGATGCTGGGCTCCCCTCCCTCACCCAGTAGAATCACAGGGCTGCTCAACTGGCCAGGAGGGCAGATTGTTAGAGCAGAGCCCACAGCCACCATCCTGAGCCCTGCCTGCTCACTTCCCCAGGGCAGGCCCGACCCTTAGCCCCATGCCCCCTACAGGGCCAGGATCTGTTTTGGGGAAGTGAATGGGCAGCACTCTGAGCCCTTAACTCTGAGCCACATCGTCCCCTGGGGACAGAGAGGAGACACATCCCCTATCAAAGCCCTTCCCCACCACTGGGCAAAAGCTTACCCACGGGTCTTGCCAAATGGGGAAGTTCTCCTAGGTCAAAATCACGCAGTGCTGGTTCCTGCCCCAGCCCAGTCACTTGCCTGACCTTGGGGAGCCCCTGCCCCCTTGGCAGCTGCACTTTCTGATCTGTATGACGGAGATGCTGGACCTGCTGGCCACGTGTTCGGACAGGTTAAGGATGCAGGAACTGAGCATGGCTAAGTGGAACTGAAGATGAAAACCTCTCAGCAGAAGCCCCCATGACACACTCCTGAGCTCAATGGGAAGCTGGGTCATTTCAGGAGCACTGGGCTGGGTTCAGCCATGAGCTGACCAGTAGGCTCTTCCAGCATCTAGGCCGTGAGTTAGATCATGAAGGGCTGCTGGATGGTTTAACCCCACCCCTCCTGCTATAGGATGGAGCACCTGAGCTCAAATGCGAGTGGTGACCTTGCCCAAGGTCATGCTGCATGTCAGAGAGACAGCCAGCCTGGAACCCTGGTCCTTCAACTTTCACAAAGGCCAGAGCTCTGGCCAAAACCTTCCCTGCCTTGCAGAGTAGGAAGCCCTGCCCAGCAGGCAGCAGGAGGAGGTTCAGAATTGCTCTGCTGAGGCTCTGAGTGGAGGCGCTGATGGAGGAGCCAGATCCAGCCACTTTCAGAATCACGTTGTCATCTACACTGAAGGGAATGATGGGCAAGATCCCCAACAAGCAAACAAGCCATCCTGGGGAAAGGAAGGCCACCCTAAATAGGTTTCCATATCTGTTGATCTGAGTCCACCCTGCTCCCTCTAGACTTTGGTTTCGAAATCTGTAAAATGCCAAGAATCCCACAGTTTCCCTAGCCACACTTCACCCAGAGCTGAGGCCCACCTCCTGTGGAGAGGCTGTTCTAAGATGTATGTATCTATCCTTCTAATGAATTAGCTAGAGACAGTTTAACAGTCTGATTTATCTCAGTCAATGGAAGAGTCTGCGGCCCTTGACACTCCCATGTGCATGCACGCACGCACACGCACACACCCACACAGACACACACATACACATACACACACACACACACACACACGTGCACGCGCGTATAGTGCTCGTCTTAACCACAGCCTTTATCTCCGTACAGGGGACTGCTGTTATGCTGAGAATGGGCCTCCCTCTTGGTTTTGATAGGAGATGCAGACTAAAAATAGGCCATGAGTTCCCTTCTAATGGCCAGGCTTTCAAATGATCTTGTTTGGGCTTTCTAGAGTGCTGGGAGTGAATGGGAAACTAGAGAGAGGGGTTTGGTGTTCTTGGGCAAATCTCGAGTTTCTTCCAGCATCACTGAACTCCTGGTCTATTTCCAGTACACAAGATTTGCAAATTCCTTATTCTCCTAAGCCTCTTTTTTGTTGAAATCCTCTGTTGAGAACTCCAGGCTTCATTTACAAGGGCACTGCTGCTAGAGAGGAAATAAGACTGGAAATAGAGGGCCTCACTTTGCAGAAACCCTAGGGAGGTAGGGAGTGCGGATTTCTTAAAAGCTAGGAAGACATGTGACTCAAGGGTACTCACAGTGTCAGCTGCAGGGACCAGGCAGCTGCTAAGAGGCTACAACCTCTCATTAGCAGCCTCCTCCCTGGACCCCCTGCAGACAGGATCAGGGCTGTCAAAAGCACTGAGGGTACCTGGTGGGTGCTTCTGCCAGCATGTCAAGGTCCTATGACTGTGGATGAAGCCACAGCCTTCGGATGATGCCTCCTTAGGATTCCTCGAAGTCCCGCAGGCCATTCTTGCCCCACCTCAGTGTCCAGCCCCACATCATGAGGGGTCCTAGAGCACAGACGCATCATTGCCGCCAACAAATGGGGATAAACAGGCCTCGGGTAGTAGCACCTGGGTGGAAGTGTTTCTAAAATTAGAAAATTCGTTCCCTCTGAAAATTCCTTCCATGTGGTT